ATTCTATCGACTACTAGGAAGGTCAAGTTCGAATATGAGCTTAATCAGTCAAATAGTTTAGAAATTACAGCATTTAAAAATTTTGAAATTTTGAAAATTTGATACTTTCACTACTTCTCCCTCAAATAACTTTTGAACGCTTTGAGTTATTCGATTCCTGTAAATTGCATCTAAAAGCCGAGACATTAAACTTCAATTTATGTGCTCACATTTTTTTCTAAAGCAAAAAAAATTCATCTTAGGATCATTTTTAGTTTTACTTTTGCAGTCGTTTTGTCTATACAAAACAGACTGAAAAGTACTGAAGTACAATAATTCTTTTCTTTCTTTATTAAACGTTATTTATTTTTTTTTTTGTATTTAATCCTAGTAGTTTCTAATTTTATTCATCATGAAATCTACTTCCATTTCGGCTGCCGAATGGCCTTTTTTTTTATTACAACGTTTATGTAAAACGGTACGAATTAATTCCAACACCTAATACTTCTGTACAATGTCCATGAAAAATTCTTACTCACTATATAATTACAAAAATAAGGAATATAGAAAATATAAATGTTAGTTTAAGTAAATAAAAGCAAATGAAAAAGATAACAATATTAACGAAACAGTGAACGTTGTTCCTGAACCAGGTTGGTTGGTTGGTGAAGGGGTTACCGGTTTTTTAAAAAATTCGTTAATTTCTTCAAACCGTGAGTTCAGCCATTCAACATTAGCCTGAGCTTTCTTCAAACCATCGTCTATGACCCCTGTTTGCACGCTTGTGTCATGTGTTTTTACATTTTCGATCTGTAATTTAGAATTGACAATTCATTATTACCAGTTAACAAGTTCAATTTCTACAAATATTCAAGATACTAATAATAGTATGAATAACTATACCTTTGCAATTTGGTTTTTATTAGTCACTCTACTTCCAATATCTGAAATGTATGTTTTGACGTTCTCGGCACTTATGATGTTACTAAACCAAAATATAGTGAATTTTTTAATAAGTTGAAATATTATAGTCGGTTCCAGGACGTTATGTCTACAATACAATGGGGAAATCTTACCTCAATAGTAAATAGTGAATATTAGAATTAAGGAAGTCTAAAGATACGTCTACACCAAGGTCACTTCCTTCGTAAACTGCTTTAAATATTTTATCACGATTTCCCCCAAGATAAGAATCGTTGATAGCCATTCTGAGATAACTATTCAACAGATCCTTATTCGATGTACACCCCAATCCTGCTAAGATGTCGTCGTCGTCTTGATTTTCGTTATATTTCGACAGCAATTTATTCCAAGTTGCATTGTCTGCATTACGTACTCCATTGCAGATTATGATTTTCTTTAAATCTCTCGATAGTCTAAGCAAGAAATTTAAAATTTTTATAATTGAAATTATAAACAAAATTATACCACTTTGAACAAAAAATGAAAAAAAGTTGAAATTAATTTATTATTTAACATTTCGACGTCGTGCGTTTAATTTTTAACGCTTAAAATTACAATACTATATATCTGCATTACTTAACCTTCTTTAGAAGTTGCAAAAAACAAAAAACAATTTTTTTTTTAAATCAAAAAATTCGTACTTTTGAAAAAACAAAAAACCCAGTTCTGAAATTTCACGATCTTTTGAAATCAAAACAAGGTATTATACAAAACAATTGAGGTGAAATTTTAATGTCAATCGTCTTTTTTGACGATTTTCAAGAATTTAAAATTTGACAAATTTGGCATTTTTCAGAATTTTTTTCCAAAATATTTTCATTTTAATAGCCCCGAATATCTCCTTTCAAACAAACGAAAAGCCATTACTGTATTTATATTGGCGTTCGAGATATTTAAAAAAATAAAATTGAAAAACTGAAAAAGTGGCGAAATTTCGAATTTGTATGTTTTGAAAAAAATTTTTTTATTTTTTTTGCTTTGGGAAAACTTCGTTGTATGATAAAAGAAAACTTCTGCCCAAAATTTTTTCAAATCGAAAGTGGCGATTCCAACTATTGGTCGATTTGACATGGAATGACCCAATAGTGATTGAATTATTCTGTATTCTCAATTTTTCTAATACTTATTAATCTTATTATACATTAATATATTTACTGATAATTCCACAACAAACTCAATATTGTCAATATTGTCAGTATTGTCAAATTTATTTTGATGATTTTAAAAATAAATAAATGAACTTACGGATTTGACATAGAATCACTTAGCCACAAATTGAATTTCTTTGTTGCGTAATCTATGCACGACTTTAAGCTCATACTGCATGTGTTGTCAATAAGTTTCATTCTATGCAATTTTGTAATATGCTCGTCCTTATCTGATTCTTCGAATTTGATGGATTCAATTGATTTTCCAGTCAAACTTGTGATGTAATCCTATCAATATTTTCATGAAAAAATAATTAGCCTAATCAAAATTACTTATACGTAAAATTAAATAAATTATTTTTTTGTGCTTACTCTAAAATCATTAGAGACTTTAGTATTCGCCAATAACCTGTTCAAATATGAAATACCATTCCACGCGGAAGACCATGGGACAAAATCAGCTTCTTTCTTGAGGTATCCAATCAAATTGAATGCTATTTTATATTTAGTGTAATTAAGTCGAGCAAGATTAAATACATCATCAATAAGCTGTGCTCGATTTAGAAGATTTATCGCTGTATGATTATTTGTCAAGAACTGAGTTATCAATTTCCAATTTTGCTCGTCATAATTCACACGATAGTAACCTGGTGAAAAATTTTTTCATTGTACAAAAGTTTTTCATCGCAGAAGTGCAAAACCGGCTAATTTGTTCGTATCTTACCAAACTGCTGCTTATTGCAAATGAGCCATTGATTCTCTGCGGGTGCAGCAACAGTCACAAATTCGTTTTTTGGGTCAAACCAGATGATTGTTGAAGCGATGTTGTCAAAATCAGGTTGTTCTTGCGTAGCGAAATTCAAAGGTATCCAATATTTCAACGAGCTAGTTTTATTTTGCCCGTGTAAGAATCGAGATTGAGTGACGTTTGCTTTTTTATTTTTGTAGTCTCTTACAATATTGACAACTGGGTACCCTGGCGTTGTTGCCCAATTTAGTAAAGCGCCTTCAAAAGAAGGATTGATACTTGCATTGACTTGAGTGACAAGTTCAGCAAAAAGTTCTTTAGATGTCGCTACAGTATTTTTACTATGGAGTTAATAGAAAAAGTCATCAGTCCGAATTTAAACTATTTAGATTTTAATACGTTAATTGACTTACTATTTTAAAAGATAAGATTGCAAAGCAATTTTGAATTTATCTTCACCCATAACGTAGGAAATCATGCGAATTACAGATGCAGCTATAAGAAACCAATTGTTGAAACACAATGTAATTTATATTTTTAGTTATTCAATAGGGTAGCGAAAAATAGTATGTTAGTCACCAAGGACAGGAAAGTAAGAAATGTCTCAGATCACATGTAATTGTTGGCCGAGGCGAAGCCAAGTTCAACAAACATGTGATCTGAGGCTTTCTTATTTACTGCCCAAGGTGTGTATACCATTTTTCTGCTCGATGGAGGCAGAAAGCGGCAACTCCGTTTAGCGCAGCGGGACAAATATTGACACTTTCCGCCCGGAGGGGAGAAAAAATAGAATATTTTATGAAATTATGTTAGTTTATAATATTTTAAGAGTATCTTTCAAAGATAACCTCGAAAAAAAAATTTTTAGTTTAAAATTTCTTCATCACTTAAAATTTAAAAAAATTATGGCAGTAATAATTGTTTTTCTGACTTGTATTCATGTCTTATGCTTTATTGCTCTTGCATCGTTAAATAAGAAAAGTCTCAGATGACATATAATTATTGGCCGAGGTGAATCTGACGTTGACAAACATGTGGTCTGAGGCTTTAATTTTTACTGGCCAATGTATGCATACTATTTTTGTGCTCGACGTAGCTGGAATGTGGCAACTTTCTGGCCGCTGCGCTAAACAAAGTTGCCACACTCCGGCTACGTCAAGCAGAAAAATAGTATACACACCTTGGCCAGTAAAAAATAAACCCTCAGACCACATGTTTGTCAACCTTGGGTTCGCCTCGGCCAACAATTACATGTGATCGGAGACTTCTTATTTTACTAGCCTAGGTATGTAATATACTATTTTTATTTAACTTATCTTTGGAGAAAGCTCTCAAAGTATAATAAAAAATCATGTTTCCACAGTAAATGAAAAAAATAGTCGGATGTTGAGCCACCCGAGTTATCCAATACCTTTGCTGTAAGTGATACTATCAAAAATAGAACTAATCTCTTTTGGGCTTGACACGGCAACGTCCATTTCATGGCTTGTATTAAAGCTATCGGCTATGAAAGCTGAATTTTGTAAATTTTCGACGACAAATCTCTCCATCAGACGCCATTTAGTTTCAACCTGAAAAAAAATTGGTTATCGTGTCATTAGTCATCACCATCACTCATCACTAAGGTTTAATTGAAACTCTTAATTCAGATTATTACCTCAGCAGTGATAACATATTGTAGATAACTGGCAAAACCTTCATTGAGCCAAACATACTGCCACCATTTCGGACTGACTAAATTACTAAACCATTGATGAGTAAACTCATGTGCGATTATTTTTGCAATCGCTTCTTTGTCATAAAGAGAAGACTTTTCTTCATCAAAAAGAAGTCCTGTTTCACTGTTTTTGAGAAAAAGTTTATTAGAATACAGTCAAATCCCTTTAAAAATGCTATCTTCAGATACGATATCTTGGTAAAGGTGCTCTCTCTTCTAATCCCCAATGCGCGTTCTGAATGCACTACAGAAAGCATACACGAATGTTTCGTGTCATCTGTAGAGAGCGAGCCCCTTTAGCAGGAGCATTTTTAGAGGGAGTGGCTATGAAAGCGAAAAATCAAAAGGATGATAGCAAGGAAAATTGAAAGATCTACCGATAAGTAACAAGACCCCAGTTTTTCATGGCTCCAGTAGCGGATTGAGGTAATGCGATAGAATCCATTTTTGTGAATCCATGGCTTTGGTAGTTTATCTTTGTATAAGCTTCGAGTGCTTTTAATGCTTTCAAACCGATATCAGCAGCATACTTTCCATGCTTAATAGCATTCTTTCTCGCCCAGATTCTAAAGCTCTTATCATTTTCGTTTCCCATATGATCGAAATCGACTACAGCATAAGCTACTAAATAGGTTGACATTTTTGGAGTTGTTTCAAAAGTGGTTTTAACTAGATTGTTGGATTTCATTTCGATTGACTTAAATTGTGTGTTTGATAGTGCTGTGAAATCCATATGGTGGGTAATAGATATCGTAAAGTTGGCTTTCATAGCTGGCTCATCCCAGCATGGAAAAGCTAAACGGGCGCCAACGGGTTCAAAATGAGTTGAGGCTATCCATCTAAAGCAATAAATTGAATCATTCATTTAATATTTAGGTTGTTGTTTGAGAATCAGGTAAAGGGATATTTTGGTCTTAAAGTCTGGAAAACTCGATATTTTTCTGCATATTTTCTTCAAGATACTTTTTTTTTCAAGTTAGTTGCCATGATATCTCAACTTCTATCAAACTAATTTATATGAAATTTTAGGTGAGACTTTTCGATAAATTTATTCATTGTTAAAAAAAGATTTATAAATAAATTTGAATGTTTGCTATTTTTTAAAAATTCAGAAATATAACAAGAAAACAGGTAAAAAATCCTTTTTTTTTTATCTCTGCCAGTTTGTATAAATATTTATATTGATTTTTCTCTATTTCACATAACATAATTTTTACTGATTAAGAATTTACCGTTTTTCTTACTTCGGATGACTATAAAAATTAAAATTATGTCATTGAAGTTGAACTTTATTTTCGAAACCTCGACTCTATAAAACTGAAATACAGAATCATCACTATTTGGTAGTGCAAAATATACTGTTTGGCATACAATGCACTATAAAATAGTGCATAGTCACTATTTGAGTATTAGAAAGTAACTTTACTAGCCGGTCACTTTTCATATTTTCGATTTTTTAATTAAAATATATTTCTTTATATTCTTGACACCAATCAATATTCAGTAGAAAAACGTTTCTTAAAACTTGTTTTAATTTTTCTCTTAATGCTTGTGAAAAAACATCTAATACATGAATTTGTGCTTTTATAGACCAGCATATCCCCTTAAAAAGTTTTAAGACTGGACTTTATTATTAACAGTTCGGAATATTTTGTACATTTCCTTACCTTGTTACACCAAAATCATCTGTATAATGTCCTTGGTAAAAACCTCTCAGCTGATCGTTAATAAATCCTGTGTAACTTAACTTTAACGTATAATTACCTTTCACAATAATCTGTTTAAATGTTATTTTCAAAAAATTTGTCACATGATCTATTGAATTACTATCATATGGTATTGTTACGCTTGGAGATGTGACACTGGAGAGGGTAATTGACGCTGAGTCAATTGTGAGATTTTGAGCATGTAAAACAATAGTTTTTGTTTCTGTCGTGACTTCGATATCAATAGTGGATGTTCCAGTAAAAGCAAAATCTTTTCCATCCAAATACTTAAGCGTTAGTTCAATCACGTAGTTGCTTGGTTCAACATCTCCAGGAAGTCGGTAATCTTCTTTGCTATCTTCACGGAGCACTTCAGGTGCATCGTAGAAATTAGGACCATCTGAGAACGGTGGGATCGCTTGTGTCGCAGATATATAAAACACAGCGAATAAAGTTATTTGCGTCAACGACATAGTGCCCTGTTATATTTAAATAGAGAGATTTGAGCTTTCGAAACAGTGGATTTTAATTTATGGCAATTTAGCAACTAAACTCGTTTTACTTACGTGTAATAATCGCAAAATATATTTTGCACTTGAGTAAGAACAGTAAATTATTTATTATTAAAGATCGCACTTAATATCAAAGCAGTCTGTGTGATTCCCTTTGGACTTACAACGATTAACTGATAGGAACGTAAAAAAAGAGAATCGATCTAATCTTATCAGTGTAAACTTTTATCAGTATGACTTGTATATGGTTGTAAGCACATACAAATGTGTTATTATGTGTGTTGTTCCCTCCATTAGCGGTATTTATTAATATAGTCCATTGCAATCATGAGGTAATTAAAAAATATTTCGAATGTAAGTGGATTTTTACTTAACTTTAAAAATATTTTTTAGATAAGGTATGTAAGACATGTTTGAACGTGTTAGATTTATCTTGCACAATAATACGAAACAAACAAATCTGAAAAGATATACAAAAAAAAAATTTTAAATAAAGTTTCGTTTCTTACTTTTTGTCTTTAATAACCTTTTCTTGTATCCATAAATATTATACTAAAAAAAGAAATTTTATGAGCTTTATGTTCTATCAAAAAATTAATTCTTATGCAGTTTTTGAAAATAACGAAATCTCAAGTCGATTTAGGATCGAGATTTATGATCGTTGGGGCAAAAAATTAAGAAAACTAAAAATTACATTATTACATCAAGAATTATTTATTGTAAATAGAAAAATCGCTAATCATATCTATTTTGATTTCAATCAAAATAAAAAAGAAATTTTCGAAACTGATATCCATAGCAATCTCATTATGATAAATGACATTCGTTCATTTGAATACCTTTCAAGCCGATTGTAAATTAGCTTCGTTTCGTCATTTATTACGAACTATGATTTTTTTGGATCTTAAAACTTAAAAGTCGATTTTTTTTAATACTGAATGATTTTAAATTATATTTTCTTTGCATTTTTATCTGTATAGAATAAAATCTCAAATTGAAGTATACTATTAAAGTATACTCATAAAAATTGAGCGATATTCAAAGAATTTTTGTGAAATGAACAATTTAGAAATTTTTTTTGTTTTTATTTAATTGATTATTGATTGAAACCTAGATTCTTGAAGTTACAATTTACAATTTTGTTTACAACCATTTTTCTCTGAGTTATATCCGGTGGAAATTATCAAAAAGTTAAGAATTTTCGTAATATTCCTTAATTTTTGTGAGTAATTTAAATCAAATCATGACAAAAAATTGATATTGATAAATGTTTCATACCAAAGTGATTTGTCTAATGACTGTTGCTTTAGAAGTGTGAATGGAAAATTTCCATGTTCACTATTATTAAAACAATTCTGTCGGGAGCTCTACCACTTAAGCTACCGAATTTCTGCACCACGTAACCCTTTTTTTCAACAATTTTAATTACACCTGGACTCTATACAGAAAAAACAGTTATCTTGAACCAAGAAAATTTTTCTTTTTTTGATATTGATTAAAAATTGTTCTATTTTTTAATAGAAAAAAAAAACTCACTTTCAGAATAGTTAAAAAACTCTTGCATGAAGAATAAAAAAATTAGAAAAACGGTTCACCCTAAAGGCCATCCCTACCACTTCCCGCTAATTCCATTCCTGGGCACTTAAAATTGTACTTATGACATTTTAAAGATTTTTGAGCTCAAAATATAATTTATGTGATATTTTGAGCTCTTTGAGTTCAAAGAAATAATATTTCTATGCATTTGAGCTCTCCAGCTCTCCAGCTCAAAAGTCTGATAGAAGTTTCATAGAACGCTATTTTTGGAATTTTCAAACCGCAATAACTTTTGAATGGATCAACCAATTTTCACGCGGTTGGCGACATTCAATGCAGTTTTATCATCCTCATAAGTTATTTTCAGGTTTTCATTGATCGAACCAAAAATTTCGGAGTAATCCCGAAAAAACACTTTTTTCGGTTTTCTTTCACGATATCTCTCGAACGAATCAATCGATTTTGACCGGATTAGCGGTGATTGGCGTGGTTTTTCAAGCTTAAGGGCGGATTAGTTTTTGAAGTTGATCGATAGAGCCGTTTTGTTTTGTCGAAAACTATCCAATGCGGATAATTCCTGTAATTGTTTTTAAAAATATGATGAAGTTGGGATTAGGAAATTAAATAATAATACTTGGATTTTTTGGGGAACAATTTAGAAGAATTTATTTGTCCCCAAAGGAGGAAAACCCAGCTAGGCTGGGAAAAAACCTCCTTGATGAAATTATACAAGTAAATTGTGTGTGTGTAAGTGTGAATGTGTAAAATTACGTTGCAATCACGCAATAGGGGTGAGCTCAGCCGCCTTAGATAGAAAATTATTGATAATTTGAATTAGATAAGTCCCAAGGTGGGAGCTGGTAATATCTAATTAATTTGAACTGTCTCAGAGTGAGAGCTATTAATGTTCAATTGTCTCTAGGTGAGAGCTAATAATATTCAATTGTCTCTAGGTGAGAACTAATAATATTCAATTGATAACAGAATGTTAGTCAATTAAGTTTGATGTTTTCGTGTAGAAATTAGTCAAATGATTTGAAATTGGAATTTAATTATTTATAAATTAAATTAAATAAGATCGTAATTAAATGTGAATAATTGATTTAATGTAATTAATTGTTAACATCACGCGTCAATTATGGATTGACTAAAGCCGCATGGCTGATGCAATCCTTTGTCACGGTGGCGCGTAATGAACTATTAAACTGATTTAAATGAATAGAGAATTTAAAGTATAATTGAATCTAATATAATTATTTATATTTAATGA